CTAATACTTGGATCGTATCAACTGTTTATCCAAGTCTAGTTGGATAGGTTTCAACATTCAAATAAGTAGGCTGACTGGCGAACTTACTTGGTCCAAGTTCTCATCATGGTAAATCCCGCGCAATAGCCCTGGACATTTCAGAAGCATACGTCAGGGTGTCGCATGAGAACCTCCTTATTAACAAACTGGGCTTTTATGGATTTCCACCCACTTTCGTTAGATGACTCAGCAGCTTTTTCAAAGGCCGATCCATCCAGGTCGCCGTAGATGGATACACCTCAGAGAGGTTCAAAACCGACACCGGGGTTCTCCAAGGGATGTATCTTGTCCCGTACCTTCTTCCTGCTAGGTAGAACTTTGCCGGCGACAGCACACTGGTATCTTTCTTTAAGTCGATAACTCCAATGACTTCTATCGACTCCCAGTTCCGTGGACGTCATCAGATCACAACCATCAGCTGAGATCTTAATGCCATTTTAAAGTGGGGTAGAAGCAATATGATCGCATTTTATGCAATTAAGACTCAGGTTGCTGTTTTTACAAAGAAGGCTGCCACTGCAGCTCTAGACCTTACTATGTCTGAGCTTACTTTTTCCCTGTCTTCTTCGGAGTGGTTGTTCGGCGTGGAGGTAGGAACAATATGCCTTGCATGATAGCTGAAGCGGCCTCTCAAAAATTTGGCACTCTTTTAAGGTGAAAAGGCTGTATACACCGAAACAGCTTTTAATTCTCTACAAGGCCCAGATTCATCCATCTTTGGAGTTTTGCTCTCACATGTGAAGTTCTGCCCCCAAGCACACCTTCAAAATGCTTGGTCGATCCAGGAGTGCCATTCGTCTGATAAGAATCTGGAGCTGACAGGAAGTTTGGACCGCTTATGGTACACAGAAGAAAGGTGGCGGAACTGACTCTGTTTTACTGATAATACCACGGTAAATCCTCCTCCGAACTGTTCCTATATCTAGAGTTATACATGCAAACACTACTCGGAAGGAACACGTGCCTCATGATCAACGAGTGCACCTGCAGACGCCTAGAATCGGGACTTCTTTAAATGGAGAACTGCAAGTCTGTGGAACCACCTTCCAAAGCACGTCTTTCCCGAACACAACAACCTACAAAACTTTAAGAGGAATATCCACACACACCTTCGAACCACTGCATTATCTCGTGCTATTCGAGTGCCATAAAGGTTTTCCTCAGGAGCCGGTGTATTCCATAAAAAACGTGCTTCCCGAAGCAAACAAAATCAAATTTTCATACTAAAACAAAATAAGAGAAAAATTAAAGGTAAACAAGCTTTTATAGATTGAGCGAAGGTAATTGACGAGCTGCCAAAAGAAAAATTGTGAAAAAATCTTTTTTTTTTTTAATATTTTCCAACTTTCAGTGCTTCTGTTACCCCCTATGAACGTGTTAATTCTGGTGCAGTTTCTTTCCCAGCTTTCGTTCTTTTTTTGAGTAATCGCTATTCGCACGTTCCTTTGAGCTGTTCTGTATCAATTTTTCGTCTGTTCTGTTTTTGAATTAAGGTATTTATTAAATTTATCTCTTTTGATGTTTATCATTTCTTGAATTTCTTCGTCCCACCAATATGGGTTCTTTCGTTTGGGCTTCTCGAACATTCCTAACACTTCTGCTGCTGTTCTATGTAAGGTCTCTTTTATGTAGTTATGTTGTTCTTCAACGCTATCAAAGTTTTCTTGCGTAAATTTTTCATTTTATCGTTTTCTGTATAACGCTTTAATGTTTTCATGGTTGAAACTGTCTAAATAATATCTTGCTTCGTTTTTCGCAACCTCTGTAGCTGTTTATCGATGATTTCATTCTTCGGAATGGTTTGGGGAAGTATTTTGGCTTTAATAAGGTTGTGGTCGTTTCCACACGTCGCTCCTCTATAAACTCGTACATCCTGGATTTTTAGTTTTGTGTTTTGCCGGACTAACACAAAATCTATAATCAGAGCTGTTGTAAGTACTTACCAAGGATCAAGAAAAAGTACTTAAGTATTAAGTACCTACAAGTTTCTTTTTCAATACGAATCAAGTACAGGTAGAAGTATAGGTAGGTACAGAAGGAAATACCTAAAATATCAAGTAAATTGACTTGAATTGTCCAAATTCAAGTACAAGTACCAGATTCCACGAAAGTCAGAGTCAAGTTTAAGTATTTAATTAAACTTGCGTACTTGAAATGATATTTACGTAGAAATACTTCAAAAAATAATTTAATTATTTTTTATTTCAAGTATTGTTCGAATTAAACTAACAAATTAAATTATTGCTATCGATAATCATACACTGGTGCTATCAAGACGCGATTAAAGGGGGTATGACCCAAAAATAAGAGTTCTAGAAAAAAAAATAGAAGAACAAATTTTCAAACCGCACTAGGCTACGACCAACCGTTGCGAAGATACCGTGGTATAAAGTTCCCACTCCTAGCATTGTGACGTGATATGCACAAACTAAGTCCGACAGCGCGTTTCTGATTCTTGCTGCATATATACTGTGTGACAAAATAAACGCATCACCCCCTAAAAGTATGATTATTTGTTAACCAAATTCTGTACAAATGCTTGGGCTATCAAAAGTAAAATTTAATTTATTAAAGCATATGAAAATAAAGTAACATTTGATCAATAATTGTTATTTTTTACACCATTAACATCATTGGAGAGCACAAAAAATGACGTTTCTCTTTGAGGTCATGGCCAATTCAGTATGGTGTCCATATAAAAAAAAAAACAGAACTTTCTTCGAAATGATGACCCATAGAAAAAAATTAGTACGCCACTGGATTCTGCTCAGAAAAGTAACCCAAAACGAAAAATGTTTTCACAGAAATGTGAAAAATTGATAAATAAAAAACTTATAGCCAATTTTCAGAATGGGGAAAAATTGAAAATGGCCCTGTATCAATGGTGCCATTGAAGATATCGCGATACCTACAGTTTTTGACAATCAACGTTTCTCGGAAATTGATTCCATGACATCTGAACTCTGTCCAACGAACCTACGGAGTATGAAAGAGACGAAAGATTCAAAATGGCGGCCAGGTTTACACTGAACATTGATTTATGCCATTCATTTATTTCAAAATCCCTCAAAACATCACTACTCTACAGCGGAAAGCGGGCTGATAAATTACCAATAGTAAAGAACCTTTTTGAAGGTTTTGTTGTTTGTCACTCCGTAGGTTGGTTGGACAGAGTATAAGTCAATTTTTTTCTATCTGGTCGGGAAGTATGTTTTTCTTTTCCCTGCTGAAACACTCCAAATAGCAGCACCTGTATCTAAAAAAAAATCTGAGTGTGAATATACCTAGGTATATTCACACAATGTATGTGGGGGATCAAAATTTATGACGTTAGCATGTCGCAATGTTGCCGCATCAACTTCGTTTTACTTTGACATACCATAAAGTTTGTCATTTTCCTAGGTTACATTTTTATTAATCAATTGATAAGAATAATTAAAATACCGAAAAACGAAATTCCAATACAGGTTTATAGCAAATTAAATTATATCCCAACTATCAATCCCCAACTCGTTAGAAACTGACAACAATCCTCAAAATATTAAGATCAATAACCAAAGATTTGCAGAAGGCAACTATTGGCAACATTACCCACGAGTGCCAACCTAACTTTCTTAAAATCTCGAATATGACGTTTTTCCCCAATTATGCCAAAATATATCCCAAATGTGTCGAAAAAACTCAAAATTGATCTGTGTCTAAATAACCGATAGTGAACTTTAACTCTAAATCTCACAACAAGTGGGCATCCACTTCATAAGTGAGCTGTTTATTTAATTTTTTTTCAGTTTCCTTACATGTTGATTATTGATATTTATTTAATTGCTTATTATTTATTTATGAAATAAACATATTTTATTTATTTATTTATTTATTAAATCCCATTTTATCGGCAGATTCGGTTATATGATCCAACAGCATTCTATCTCTATTTAATTAGAGTTAAAAAACAGAGAAAATGCGCTCTGAGTTTAAAACGAATTTTAATTTCTTACAACTGCAATTGGCAATAATTTCGACGTCATTGATGACCTGCAACCATTATTTTAATAATTTCACTATAGTTATTTTGCAGTCTTAGAAAAAGTATATAGTTTATGGAAACCATTTTTTTTTAGGTATTCACACTCTTGCGGTTTTTGCCACCAACTAAACTTTCCCACGCGTGTGAAAAGGATAATTTTCAACACTACCTCTATAGTATTAAGCAAAAAAAAAAAATACCTATTAAAGGGGTGGGAGGCGAAGTTGTTACTTAAACTAGGAAGCATTCTAGCCTACGATTCTAGCAAAATACGCCATAACAAGAAATGACTTTCTGACTTCAATGATAATAATTACATATACGTAATTAGATAATTATTGATAGTGTCACTTTTGAAGGTTTGAGGACTTGAAAAGCTCTTTGTTTTATGAAGGTAGGTAATTTAAATTATGTATTTTGAAAATATTACAGAAAGAGCAGGTGGCTTTTTAAAAGCATTTCATTGTTGAAAGCTTAATAAGTTCGAACATTTTCGTATGGGAACCTGAAAAAAAATTATTAAGTATTCCGCTTTTACGCTAAAAGTCTCCTTCCTGACATTAAAACCGACCAAAGAAGCAACTAAAGGCCAAAAGAAGACGAAGAAGAAGAAGCAATACTTGAACCCATAAACCAGTTTAGTTCGAAAATTAAAAGCTCCGGACTTCACCACACAATAACACCGCTGCAATCTCGGCTCTCTCGCTACAGCAGCCCAAAAGGAAAAGCCAAAACGGAGCGTCGTCTTCAGCGGCAACAAGTGGTAGCCCCAGGCGCCAAACAACCGCCTGCCTGCGGCTTGCCCCCTCGCAACCTCACAAAGAAGAGCCCCAAGAGCTCTTCACCATTGGTCCTTCGCGATGCTGTGGGCCCCGAGGAGCAGAGAGGGAGGCCCCGCGGCTGCGCTAGCCATTAGTTGTTGTCCGTACGTTGTGCTGAAGAGGTCGTCCGTGTCTCTCTTGTCTTGCGTGAGCTCGAACTTCGTTGTTTTTTTTTGTACGTTTACGGTCTATAAGAATATTTTCTTCGCCGCGATTTTTTGAAAATCTCAAATTCATTGACAGAACAATTTTTATGTGATGAGACTTAAGTGACTGAATAGTGACTCCCGAAAGGATATTTTCATAATAAAGTTACGTACTAGGGTAGTAGAGAACTGGATGGTGGATGTTCCCGATGTTGTTGAATCCGCCCCGCGGATACTGTTATTACCAAAGTGATAATGTGCAGTGTGGTGTGGCGGCGGTGGTGTAGCAGGAGCATGACCCATGGATATTTTTTGTTGCTGTTTTTCCTGCTCAGTGTTTTGAAGGTAATTAGTTCACACGGTTTCCCATAGCATCTTTAGCATAACATTTTACTCGAAAGTTTGCCTTCGATTCCGATTTTATTTGATGAATCAACGAAGTACCATTGGAAATAGAAAATTATGGAATAATTACATGATGACAAGAAAATTTGAATGGAGGTACAGCTGTGTGGCTAGTGGGTCAAACAATTTCAGTTGTAATCTTGCAAGCTGAAATCTGAATTGAATGAAAGTGTGATTTTTTTCAAATTTATTTATTTACGGAAAACCTCATTAACTGTTTACAATTAACAAAATAAACTTATGCCCAACGAACTGCTAATAAATTTATGTTGAATTCTTCCAATGGTGCAAATATGAACTGCCTGATAAGGTGACCATACGACAAACGCGTAATCGAGTTGTATGATCTTACTAAGGAACAGTAGACACCCTTTATAGTACCTACATCAAATTTTCTGCAGTTTCTCAGGATAAAACCCAGCATTTAAGATGCCCCAACGGTAACCTAATAGAAATGCTCTACAAAAGAAGATCCCAATATCCTTAATTTTCGATGCACATTTCAGTGGCATCTTGTTTAAGGAGTTTGTAGCGTCAAACTTTCGTTCACCCTCAAAGAAAATAATGAAGCAACATTTTGATATGTTCAGAATCAATTTATACTCAAGACACCAGTCTTCTAACCTGTGAAGTCCTCCTGCAAAAGCTCTTGATCTTGATGGAAGTCAGCGAATAACAAGCCATCACTGTTCCTAAGACAATCAAATATGCTGTTGATAAAGAGATCAAAAAATAAAGGAGAACTCTGCCCTCCTTGAGGGACCCCTGATGAAATGTTATTGACTCTGATTATTTTCACCATTTTCTGATGTCCGGACAGAAAACTCTTTATGCAGGTGACTGAAGATGTGCCAAAACCAGTGTCATGAAGTCTAGAAAAGTTGCATGGTCCTTTTGGTCGAAAGCCTTGGAAAAATCTGTGTATATAGGGTCTACCTGTTTGAATTTTTCCAAAGCCTTAACTATGTTGTTCTGGTATGGTAATAGATTAGTCATTGTTGAACGACCTGAGTAGAAACCATGTTGATTCTTGTAAATAAGGCTACAACATATCCACCCCAGCCGAACACTGATCAAGCTATCAAAAAACTTTGGAATCGACGACTGTATGCACACACTCCTGTAGTTCGAAACATTATCTCTTTCCCCATTCTCTCCTCCAACAAGATATGCAATGGAGACGATAAAGTGCAGACACAGTGTTTCAGCAACAAGTTAGGAATTCCATCCGGTCCTAGAGTATTTTTATTTGGTTTTCATATTTTATTGAATATCTCGGCCAGAGAAATGGGTTCAGAGTCGAATAGTCCCGAATAATTCCAAGATGCCTCAGAGAGAGAGAGAGAGAAGTTTTCAAGGCTCTCAGGGACTGTCTTAAAATATGTTTTAAAAAGATATGCAAGATCTTGCCAACCAGTGGCACTCTCATTGTTATAAAACATTGTTTGAGGAAGGGCATTATTAGATTTGAGATATCGGATATGTTCTTCCAAAAATACCTGGGATTAGCCTGGTTGACTTGAACCATGTAACTTGAGCAACACACCTCTCTAACTCTTTTGCGTTTTGAACGTAAACTAGGAAAATATAATAATGTACTCCACGGGTGATTTAGATTTGATATACGCTTTGTAAGCTGTAAGATCACACGATTCATTTGAGAACCATTTAGAGTAAGTGCTCGATTTATGTTTTTTTACTGGAACAAAGGGGGCAATACCTATACTCAGTATCTCATCAAAAAAATCTGTAGCTTCATTAATGTTACACTGTAACAGGCACTATACCCCTGCCAAAAAGTTATTGAGCCCAAAGTAATAAGCATTTTTGAAGTCATAGTAGAGATATTGTTGAAATAAATTGGATTCCAGTTTTTGTTTTCCATATTTATGATAATTTCATACTTAACATGGTGAATACTATGATCAAAGACTGGGACCTTAGCTAAACCTAATTCTACATTGATATCATTTGTACTATACACGAGATCTAAAAATACGTTTCTGTTGTTAGGAATGTTAATTACTTGGTAGGTACCTATTAACAAGCTCAGCTTTTACTGTTGAATAGGTAATCTATTTAGGTTTTTTTTTTGCATGAAATTACTTCTGCATACAAGGATTTTTCCCATATAACTCGATTGTCTTCAGTTCAATGCCAAAGGATGAGACAAAATTATTTTCTTTCATACTAAAACCACTGATAAAAAAGTTCATTTCTCTGGTTCTACAAAATTAATTCCGAAATGCATTCTTCAAGAAACCCCAGAGACTTGTAACATTGTTCCAAATGAATGGAACAACAGGCAATAATAGCGATACGTGAAACAAATTTTACAAGAAACTCACGAAAAACTTGTTAAACAATGCCTCGGTAAGCAGAACCATGAACCAAATTAAAAAAAAATTTCAGGTGTCTAATTGTATGGTAATCGGCGAGGAATTTCTAATTAACCCAAACCAAGACTCGGACCTTATAATTTACAGTTTAGAAGCAAACAGACTTCTTTAATTAATCTGTAATTTAGGAAGTTGGGCGTTAAGTGTATATTATATAAGGTATCTGGTTTCGGTGCGTTAGAAAAAAAATAATTAGGTTGAGATGGCTACGCAACAGTGCATAAGAACATAACGAAAATTTATTGTCAGAGCTTAATTTAATTTTAGTATACCTGATGGTTTTTTTTTCTTTTACATAATAACATTCGGTCTTTGTCCAAGAAGGGAAAATTAAATAAGTGAAATATAATTATGTGTATGTGTGTCTTATTGGAGGTGTGCCTCTAGGTCCTTTAGGAATTTTAGGATATCTAGCGGCTCGAATATCTTCCAACTGTATAAGGGTACTTCCCAAGTTCTTCATCCTTGAGCAACTAACGGCATCGCAATTCAGTAGAAGATGGTGAGGTTTCTTTTCTCCATCTTCATAGATCCACAAAATTATCATCATCCCCACCACAAATGTAATGTTGGTTGCGGACGGCTTTTTAAATTCAAGCATTGAAATTGAACTTATAGAAGCTCATGGTAATAGTAAAAGCAATATATTATGACCTTATCCAAAGTGATATTTAGGTCGGAGCCAAGTTCCATATATTTTTGACCTTATCAAGTTATACAGGACAAAATTTATAGCAGCCACTAGAATCGATAAAACTAGTTTCCATCAACATAAAACCTTATAATTATTGTTTCTAATTTAAAAACTACGAGAATCTCATTTTCATGTTTTAGTAATAAATCGTTCGCTTTGTAGGTATCTTTCAATTACAATATTTTAATTAATAGCAATAGAGACAGCACATGCAAGGATAAAGAATGTCAATTCGGATTTGAAAAAACTGGAATCTTAAATGGTGCATTATTAAGACAAGTTTAAGAGGAAGCGAAATGCAAATATCCGTTTTACAACACATCGCAATAGACTGGCGAAACTTTATGAGGTTACACGGGTAATACGAAAGAGATTGTAAAGTTTATTGAGGATTTAGCAAAACGGTGCGAAGAGAAACTATAAACTGTAGACAAATATTATGACTTTGCTGCACCAGGTGAACGTCTTATAATCTAATGGAAAAAGTATGACAACATTGGATAATATATTTTTAGAAACAAATAATTATTTTTGCCACGCGTTTGAGATTAATTATTTATCTCTTCCGCTTCCAACAAAAATTCAACGGTCGATGATGATAAGTGTTCCCACGCGTCTGCGTTGATAAGCTCATTCAAAAGTTTTATTACCTTTGTGGTTTCACAGTTTACGATACTAAAAAGTAAGTATGTGTTCGTTTATTTTGCAGCCCCGTTAATAGATTTGTTCATTAACAACGACGGTTTTATTGTTTTAAAATTTAAATGAATACAGACATAATAGAGATTGTTGTTCAAAATCGCTTGGTGTATGTAATGAAAACACCTGAAGGGATTTTTACCTTTATAGGCTTGAAGTTGGATCATCGTGACATTTCCTACAACACGGCCTGGAAACTTGATACCGATGTTAGTGAGTAACGTGATCTAGCCGCGGTATCATGTTAGCTTGAAATTGATATTATTTCCTTTTGTTAGTGTCTTTATTTTTCGTTGTAGGTCACTAAATATGTATGTGTTTTCTGTGTGTTGTGTACTGCAACACCTACAACCACTAGTACAAATTTTCAATGGCTAGTAATTTTTCCACGTTCTAACGCTCCTAAAACTTTTTGCAAGATAATATTTTAAGCTAAATTTGATTTCTTGTATACCTTACCGGTTTCTAATATGCATATGGTACGTAATCATACTTGCTTCTTGCGTGTTGCATGCACCCATAATAAGAAAAATGACTGTAATTTAGGCATAAGGTACCCAAAACTCAGGTTTACTACTTGAAGGCAAAATTGCCCCAATTTGGGATGCTCACCAGAGTACTTACGATATTAAGTAGCGCTTACAGGAATCGATAAACTTCATGTTATGAATAATATCGATAATCAATAACAAAACCTACTTCTTTTGGTAAAGATTGAGAATATAGAGCTGCTAATTTGAATATGTCATCTTCTCTGGGCCAAACATACTTATCAAATACAGATGTTAAACATTTAGTTTTAAAGATTGATGGTCGATAGCTTCCAATATATCAAACATTACATGACATGTCATTGCACTTTCAATATCTGAAAATATAGTTTCATTTTTCCTATCGAAGGAACGTTTGGATCACCATGTTTTTTTTTTGGTCAGCAAAAACACATATTGAGAAATGGTCAGCATTGTCTCTAAGTTTAATCTTCAATATTAATATCAATGTTGATTAATATTTTGTCCAGTTCGCTTGTTGACTTGTACATCTACAACTGGTCGTAGAGGAACTGTTTTTTGCATATATTTTCTGGAAATAACATTTGTAATTATGTTTATTTGAATTATCAAGTTTTGCAGATTCCGCTATTATAG